AAGGAAGAAGTAAAACCTTTATTCCAAGTTGGTATGTTTGTGCACCTAGAAAATCCTAAGGAACCTATAAATAAGCTTGTCACAACTGGGGATGGGGTTGTACTAATAGCTGAATGACATGTAAATGAATACAGCAAAGTCACAGAATACAAGGCCAAAATACTATAATCAATTTTATTTCTATATACTAGCAACAAACAATTGGACAACAAAATTTTAGAAACTAATACCATTTACAATAACATCAAAACAAAAAATATTTTTAGGAATAAACTTAACATGTCCAAGATCCTAAATTTAAAACTACAAAACACTAGTGCAAGTTAAAGAACTGAATAAATCAACAAGTTCATAGATTGGTAGACTCAATACTATTAAGACTTTAATTTCCCTCAAATTGATTTATAGTTTCAAGCAATCTGAATAAATCCCTCCTGAAGTTTTTGTAGAAATTGACAGTCTAAAATGTACATGTATGGAACAGCCAAAACAATTTTGAAAAAGAACAGTTGAAGGACTTACTCATATAGTGCCTGATTTCAAGACTTAGTATAGAGCTACAGTAAAGATAATGTGATATTGGTATTAAGAGAGACTTAAAGCAACAGAATAGAGTCCAGAAATAGACCCACATATATACAGTGCGTTGATTTTCAAGAGGTGTCAAAGTAATTAAATGCAAGAAAAGGTAGTCAAATGGTGCTGAAATAACTTGATATCCATATGAGAAAAAGATGGTCCCCGACCCTTCACAGCATCCCCCTAAAATTAACTCAACATGTATCATAGACCTAAACATATAACTTAAAACTATCAGTCTTTTAAATTCAGGAGTCAGAAGGGGTGGCTGCCTGTTTTTATAAATAAAAGCTTTGGGAGAAAAGAGTTATGTCCGATCATTTATGTATTGTCAATAACTGCTTTTCAGATATAACAGCAGAATTGAGTAGTTGAGTAGCTACAGCCTGTAAGCTCAAAATATTTACAATCTGGTCTATTAAGAAAATAACTTTGAATGAGCTCTGAGCAACAGTGGTTCGAGTCCAGCCCGAGCTGAGCAGCCGCTGAGCTGCCAACAGGTAGCAGGATGGCTCAGCTTAAAAAAAAAAAAAAAGAAAAGAACTTTGAGGATACTTTCTCTAAAAGAAAACATAGTAGAAAATCTAGGGAACAATTTCTTAGAGAGACACAAAAAACAACCATAGGAGAAAAAATTGGTAAGCTGGACTTCATCGAAATTTAAAACTTCTGCTATTAGAAAGACAACTGTTAAGAAACAAAATACAAGCTACAAATTGGGAGGAAATATCTGACAAAGGACTTGTACCCAAATTATATTAAGCACTCTTATAACTGGATAATAAGAAAACAAACAACCCAGTAAGTTAATGAGTAAAAGATACTAACAGACACTTTGCAAAAGAAGATACACAAATGGGCAATAAGCACATGAAATAGTATTCAAGATCATTAATATCAGGGAAATGCAAATTTAAATCACAATGATACCACTAATACCCTACTAGAATTTTGTTTTTCTTTTTGTTTTTTTTAGCTGAGCCATCCTGCCGCCTGTTGGCAGCTCAGTGGCAGCTCAGCTCGGGCCGGGACTCGAACCACTGTTGCTCAGAGCCTGCACTCTTGAGTGAACTCTTAACCAACTGAGCCACTCAGCTGGCCCTTAGAATTCTTAATTTTAGCTAAATACCAAATTTTGGGCAGGATGCAGAGCAATTAAAATTCTCACACATTGCTGCTACACAAGGTACACAACCATGTTGGAAAACAGTCTGGCAGTTTCTTATACAGTTAAACATACATTTACCATACAACCCAGCAATTCTACTCTTTCATATACCCAAAATAAATGAAAGCATACATTTGTCCAAAAATGTGTACACAAATGTACATAGCAACTTTTTTCATGATAGTCAAAAACTGGACACAACCCAAATGTCCATCAACAGATAAATGGATAAACAAATTGTGATACAGCCTTATAGTGGAACACCACTCAACAATAAATAGCCATGATATAGCAAAAACCATGGCTGAATCTCAAAAGCATTATGCTAAATGAAAGAAGCCAAGCACAAAAGTATATTGCATGATTCCATTTAAATGAAATTCTAGAAAAGATGGAACCTAATCTTTAGTAACAAAGAGCATCAATAGTTGCCTGGGGATGGGAGGTTGTGGTGCGGGGGTAGGAGAGTTCCAAGTAAGCATGAGGGAACTTTTTGGAGTGATGGAAATGTTCTATATCTTGATTATGGTGGTGATAACGTGAGTGTACACATATGTCAAAACTCAAAGTATATAACAATCTGTTATCACTCTAATGCTCAATAAATATTCGATAAATTATAAGTAAAATTATAGGTTTCTTCTGAAATAGTCCCTCAAACTCAACTTCATCCCTTAATAGTTTTCAAAATATTTTCCATCATCTTCCTTAGAAAGAAAGATTATGGTATTTGCATATTTTCTCAGTGGCAAATACTAGAACATTTTTTTAAGAAAAGAGAAATTCTTATTTAGGGAGGCAGTATCATCAAATGGTTCTTTTACTTCCTAGAGTAATAATAAAGACAAAGAAGATAGGGGAAAAATCCTCATCGGACCCAAATGTGTTCTTAACCTTCCTTTCGAACCCCTTGTTTCTTTACACATGATTGTGTCTTTACGTGTGTAGCTCATCATCATGCTGGATGGAGGTGAGGTAGGAAATTAAAAACCAGTAAACAAAATAGCCTTCAGCAAAATCATGGAAGCTGATCAGTGACATCCAGGTATACATTAGAGATAACTAGCAATTCTGGCCAGAAGGGCCTTCTATATTTGTTAAAATCATTCTCTTAATTTCAAGCTCATAAAGAACATCACCTCTTCCAAGAAGCATTTTCATTTCCTCCACTGAAAATAAGTTATCCTTCTACTTTCCCATAGGGCATCGTACATACATTTCTTGGGTAACCCAAGATATCGTGCCTTGGGACTTATTTATTCAGAATTGTCTACTTCTACCTAATAGACTGAAGGCTCCACAGGGCCCTAACACAGAGTGGGATGACGCAAAATTGTCTTAGTGAAAGCTGAAATGAATTATCAATGGCACAGGGAAAACAAATCCTTCCAGGGTGCCTTTTGGGCATGAGCTTTGTTCAACATACTACTAACCCCTGGGACCAACAGCAGTAGTTGTAGAAATCCACATTCCTAGGTCAAGGGCCTTTACAGCTGAGAAGTGAAGGTGCTGATAATTTAGGTGGATGTTCTATTTCAGGGAGGTGGGCAGAGCCAGTATGACCCACCACCATAGATTCCGTGAACAGTGCTTTCTTCATCTCAGCCAAAGTTCTACTACCTGCCAATTTGGGGACTGAAACATTTTCTACCCAGGCCTATCTTACTTTCTTTCAAGTTCACTCTTAAACTTTTCTCAGAATCAGGAGACTAAAGCTATTTGTACCATACAAGCTAATGAAGCTTAAGGTCAACAATTCCTACAGTCAGGAAACATTTCTGTGTACGCATTTCTGGAAAACTGCCTTAAGAAATCTTCTGAAGAAAGGGGTCTCAATCTCCAGCTCTCATAATTTGTTGTGATTTCTTTACTCACTCTAAATATGCACTTTCATATCTAATTTAAAATTCTTTTTTTGTGAAGAGGAAACCCCCTCCCCAAAAAAACTGAACAGGAGGTGAAGCTAATTCCCAAAAAAGAAGAAAGTAAAAGGAAATGTGTACCAAAAATCATCTTGGCTATTTCGGCTTCACCGCGGTCTTGGAACTTGCACAAAACACCCCCCTAACACCCCCTAAATATCCACCGTTAGAAGACAGAGTATATCAAAGATTAAAAAACAATGGGGGTGGGGGTGGTTAAGAAGCTTCACCTTTGTCTCTAAAGAGGGGTAGTAGTGAAAAGGGGAGGTAGACCCTGGGCAAGTCAGAAGGGCTAAAAGACAAGGAGAGTCCCTGGCTATTCCTCCGGCCGAAGGAAAGTCGTCTTGAGCACGAGGGTTGCGATCATGAGGTCCTGGGACATCCAGGGAAACTAATTCACAGGGTACTACGAGCTCTCCTCGTAGTAGCTGCAATCCCTCGCCTGTCAAGTCCTAATTTGCAAAGCACAAGACTTTCACTTCGGCCAAGGCTGGGAAAAGGAGGCGGGGGTGGTTTGGGGAAGGGACAGCTACAGGCGGAAGAGAGAGAAGGGGTGGGGATAGGGAAGGGGAGGGGTGTGGATAGAGTGACAAAGATGCACCAGAGGGGGGCACTCGGATAGAAAGGGAAGAAGGGTGTTTTTCTACCTTTAGTTGGTCCCCCCACCCCCACCCCGCAACAAATGATAAAACAGCCTCCGCCTAAGTGAGGTGAAGTGTGATAAGGAAAGGTAGAGATGGAACACCAGATGTCTGTTATTTTATCCCAGCCTTTGCATTTGTCAGGCTGAAATTTAAGTAAACGCCACCAAACTTCCAAAAAGATCCCAAGTGAGGAACGCGAACGTGAAGACCCGCTGAAGGGAAACTAATGGGGAAAAGGGAAAAGGAGCCCCTGCATTCCGCATGCAGGCGGATGAGGGCGTGTGGCCAGAAAAGGGAGAAGGACTGCAGGAAGCTCGGGGGGCCGTGGAATGGGATGAAAGTCGGCCCCGCAAGTGTCTTCCCGGCGGCCGGGGTGGCGTCGCATAACTCAGCAGGATACCCATTCGGGGTCCGCGGTGTCCGTTCAGCGACCGCTCGCGCCCTCCCTGCTCCTCCGCTCCTGCCGCGCCCCGCGCGCCCACTGCTCGGGTCGGACCCCTCCTCGAAGGACCTGAGGCCCCGAGGACCCCGGCCCGACCCCCAACACACCCCGCAGCTGCCTCCGCTCGGGACCACCGCGTCGGCCGCCGCGACCCTGAACCGCAAATCGTGGGTTCCGCCGCGGGTGACCCCAGCTCCGAGCCGCAGCTGCCGCGGCCGAAGCGAGCACCGCCGCCCCACACTCACCGCGGTGCTCCATCTCGCGTCCCGGACGCGGAAGCCCGCGCTACACTCACGGCCGCTGCCCCCGCTGAGGGCTGGAGCTCGTCGACCCCATCCCCCACGGCCCGCGGACGCCCGGCCAAGCCGCCGCCGCCACCCCTGCAGCTACAGGCACCACCGCGCCGGCCGCCACCGCCCCACCCCCTGTCCTCGCTCCTCCAGCCCGGCCTCGTCCCGCCCCCTGGCGCCCAGCCCATTGGCCCGCGCGCCTGGGGGGCGGGGCCCGGCGCCCTGCAGCAGGTGGGGCGGCAGCTAGCTCTCGCGCGCGAGTCGGTAGCTGTCAGCTGTACCCGAGCCCGCAGACTGTCCCTAACAGTGCAGGAAGAATTAGCCACTCTATGCGGCTCGCGGCAGGACAAGCAGAGCGAACCTTAGGAACAAGTCGCCTTTTGCACCTTCCAGCAAGGAGCAGGCCCTCTGTTCTTGTTGTTTATGAGGCGATTTCTCAGGTGGACACTTTGAATTCCTTCCAGTCAGGAACCTGGTGTTCAACTTGTTTTTTTCTGCCTTCTTCCCACACCCTTTGGGAACAAAAATATATTCTGTGCTTAACTTTAAAATTGCACCCACTCTTTTCTGTCTTATACTGATTGTCGTTTTCAGAAAACTACGTTTCTCAAAACATCAACTATTATGTACAGTACCTGGCTCATAGAAGTTGCTCAATAAATGCTAGTTAAATGTATGCCCCCTTAACTATGCTACTTGCTTCTTACCATTAAATGCTCTTTGAGTAAAGGGACTCATCAACACTGTGGGGGAAATGAACAACCAAAATTAAAGCATTTATCTGACGGTTGGACCACAAGTCCTACATAAAAAATGTATAGCATTTCTCTTGAATAGTGAGAGTATACATTCGTGAGATACCACAACTCTACCAAGAATACTCTTCCTGTCATCTATGCTGAGACATAGCAGGCACTCCATGAATATTAGCTGAATAAATGTGTAAAATTATGGGAAGGGAATTTGGAAAAGTTCCTCAATCTCATCCTTCCCTTAACTCTTTTTAAAAATATATTAAACATCTGCCATATTCTACATTTAGTCAGAAGGAATATGATATTTGAAAATAGAGACGAATGGCAATTCATTTTTACAAAAAAAATGCAATTACTAACTGATAAAGAATGAACATCAAAAATCTGTCATCTGGGACAAGTGGCTCATGTGTTTGGTAAAGAAAAGAAGAACTAAAAGGCAATACCTCCACCAAATCCTGTGACAGTGTCCCAGGACATACCCTTATATACCAACTTGTTTTTTACATATAAATGTTTCTTGGTTAAAGTGGCTCAGGATCATTGCTTTGGAGAACCAAGAATCACAGACAAAGAAAAAATTCAGAGGCATATGGATGCTGGATTAATAATTAAATATATATGACAGATGGTATAGTATTACTATTTTAGTATTACTATTATTTAATAATTACTATTATTAATATAATAATATAATAATATAATTACTACTATATTATATATAGTATATATAATAATACATACCATATATTATAATAATATAATATATAATAATATAATTATTACATAATATTAATAATTACTATTATTAATATTTTAGTATTACTATTTTAGTATTACTATTTAGTATAGTATTACTATTTTATAATTACAATATTGATTAATAACACGTAACCACTCTGCTTATTGAAATGTTCTTCATTCTTTCCATGATAGAGAGAACGTCTCCTCTGCTCAAGCCTTTCTGTTTTCCTCACTGAAAACCAATCATCCTATTTGACATTATATGGTACGCAGTGTCCTATTCTTGTGGCACTTGTATTCTCATGCAGTATTTTATTTGGTAGCCTTTAGTTATATTAGACTGTGAAGGTCTACAGTATATTACATTACCTAGGTCTGTGTCTGGTATACAAGGGAGGAAGTATTTCCGGGTGGAATGTTGAAGGAATGATCAGCGAGCCCAGGAATAAAAGTCCTTCCAAGATGGTTTTGGCTATTTTTGTTTGTTTGTTTGTTTGTTTTTTGGGGGAGGGGAGTGTTTGTTTCTTTGTTTCCATAAGCTCTGCTCAACTTGTTATAACTAGTGAAACCAAGTGCAATAACATAAAACCACGTGCCTGAAGCAAAGCCTATCTCAGGTACCCTGTGTCCTGAGGTGTAGGGAATGATAGTGAAGGTAGGTGCTCCCTGTGGGCGGTGGAGATGGAAACCCAACCTACAGGAGAGTACACTGGGCATCCGCTCTTCCTCTCAGCCACACTTCAGTGACAGTCTGTTTCGGTGAGTGCAACATCGTCCACCAGACTTATCCTATTATATTCATTGCACAAATATTTATTGAGTACCTCCAATGTGCCAAGCATTGTTCTAAGCACTGAGATTATACTAGCGAACTTTAAATTCACTTTCAGACTCTCCTCATCCATGAATAAATGCCTGGGAGAGGAGATAAAATAGTGGAAGCAGGTAGGGGTGGCCCAAAGGCAGGCAGGTTTTACGTCACTGCAGCTGTCTTGACCCTTGCTTCTGGAGCGTTCAGAAAGAATCACAGAGAGCCCTACAGACCACACTGACTACAAAGGCGCCAGATTCCAAAGTGGACAAAACTCACCAAGCAGGTTATTAATCTTGATTCCATGATGGTTGAAATTGAGAAACAATGAATCAATTCAGACCACATACTGGAAATGAATATGGACTACATTGCAAACATCCAAGAATTCTGTGTTGTCATGAGGAGAGGAAACTGAGTAAGACTGAAAAAATAAAGAAAAACTCAAATGAGTGTATGGATATGATATCATACTAATATTATGTCTAGATTATCATATTAAATTTCACACTTGTTTTTTTTCCATTATTTTAAGCTCTCTGTAAAACATTTGATAACATGAACCTGTTTGCCTGAGTCACTATGTACCATGACCCTACTTAATGTCTTGCCAACATGTGTAAGGAAACTCTCCCAATAATTAATGGTTGGTGCACAATACTATTGGCCTGATACTGTTGTGAATAAGGAGATGATAATGATGATGATGATAGTAATAAAAACTAGCCCTCCATGGTTTACTCTGTGCTAGACACTGTCTTAATTATTCTTTATATTTAATGAGTCATATAGTCCTCACAATAACCCTATGAAGTACTATTATCATCCCCGTTTTACAAATGAAAAACTGAGGCACAGGACACAAGTTCAATAAAGGATTTCTGTGGGACTTAATGAAAATCGATGTTAAGATGAAGATAAGTTTGACTGTACTTTTCTTAGAAAAGGATCATGGAAAATCACTCCACTTATTCTTCCTCTGCCTCTCTGTCCTTCGTGCTGTTCCCCACATATCCCAGGGTCTTCTTGACTCAGGGTTTTTGCTTTTGCTGTTCCCTCTGCCTGGAATGGGCTCCCCCCCGCCCCCATATACCTCCCTATATGACTTGTCCTTTCTTCCCCTCCAATCTCTCCTCAAATGTTCCATACCATTGACATGTTCCCACGGTCACTTCGTAGAAGACAGCATTGCCTCTCTTTGTTTTTCCCTATCTTTTTTACCCTGCTTTAAATGTCGCATAGCATTTACCCTTCTATTGGCCTGGTATAGTTATTTGTTTATTTGTATATTTTTTTTATTTCCCCACACTAGTGTGGGAATGTTAGTTCTGTGATGAAAGGGACTCTACCTGTTTTGTTCACCATTGTATCTCCAGCCCCTGGAAAAGTAATTGGAATTAATAAATGAAATGGTTTAAAGAAAGTAACAGTACATATGCCTAAATTCTAGATTTCTCTTTTGAAAAGATTAGTTTGTTAATATGTTTAAAGTTTTAATCAGATAAGCGTACCATATTGCTTTGTTTGACAAAGATTTTATATTAACTGCTTATAATCAACATAATAATACATGCCAAGTTTAATTATTTCACCCAATCTTTATCTGAAAGAACTATAAATAACACTAGAATCTTAAATTATTTCCTTCCTTCTCTAAAGTGGAGGGGTAAACATTTTCTGCTATTGTTTCTTTTTTCACTTATTCTACCAAATGGTGACCAGATAAGAAAGCAAACACAGCCACCCCTCACTTGTGTATTTTATTCGATGGATGACGCTATGCTGTGGAGTACATCATATCATTTGGTCCTCACAAAAGCTTTATGAGATGGAAAGATAACTTCATTTTTTCCCAAGAAAATACCACAATTTTCGGAGTCAGAGGGGTGTTAGAGCTCATTGACTCTATACCCCTTTATTTTATAAGGAAAGCTGAGCCCAGTTTTCCCGGACATCACAGTTAGTCATTGGCCTAATTAGACTGAAACCAAGACCAGGAGTCTTTCTATACTCACTGATAGATTAAGGTTTTCAAATGTCTGTAAATCTATGAAATTAGATCAGCACACCTGATCATTCTTAGATTAATATGTAAATATTTAAGCTATACTATGAAATTTGTACTACAAATTTACCCTTACTATTTTGTTGGTCTGACTTACTAAGTTACTAAACATTAATGGCCCTAAAAAAAAAATGGGTGGCTTAACATGGAACCAATAGGAGCTTGGTTTGCTCTTGAAGTAGAAAGTTTTCCTGAGGCATTCTGGAACACATGCCCAGAATACTGCCTTTCTCTTAGAGAGAAGGCTGGCTGGCTTTAGGAAGGAGTGGAGCCCAATGGAAACATTGCTAATCTTTCTTTATCTACCCACTGAACAAATATTGCTGAACCCTGAGAAACAATGCTACCACTAGGGATTTTAATGAGTGTTTATCTTTTCAAGTGCATATTTATATAGGGGTGGCTGCCTGTGGCATGCTTGCCAGAGGATTGGGAAGTGACTGCTTGTAAAAGCTGAAAAATATTTAGTTTTACAAACCTGTTCAGCGAAGTCTCCTCGTTCAATAGGACATTACATTTCATAGAATCAGGAGCACTGTTATTATCCAATCATTTAGATACCTGGATTTAAATGATTTATTCTGAAATTAACTCAATTACTGACAATGTGAGGCTTAAATTAGAAGAAATAAAATACAAGAAAAATAGTACTATGAGTTAATAATTCTATAATGTTGGTGCCTCAAAATGTCTATAAACTTTTGCTTCAAAGTCCTTGAAAATTATTGATTATCAATGATGGACTGACATCCTTTGCCATGAATGGATTTGACATCCTTACTATGCTTGATGACTTATTTAGTTTAGGATATTCATCAGTGTAATTAAATTTTGTCTGGGAGCTGCATGGTGCTGGAGTATATGAGGTCACAAGCGTAGCT